CTAAGCGGTATCCAAGCACGTGACCACTAGCTGCAAAGGGCCTATTATTCACTTGTCTCTATCATTGCAAGCTCATGCCATTCGTCTCGCCTCGATGCAAAGGCACGGCTACCTTTCAAGATGGCGCAGGGAACTGTGAAGGGGACTATTACCATAGCAACCTTCGAAATTATTTTAGTCACACACATTTTGAACTCAGTCAGCATTGTAAGTCCTAAAAATTTTCACGGCACTCGATTACCTTCGATTTTCCGAAAGAATAGATTAAAAAATTTTAGATTTAGGGGGGCTGACAAAAACAAATTAAGTAGTAACTGATGTTGGGTGAGACTCGGAGAGCCTCTATCCAACTGAGTAAATAAATCTGACTGAAATTAAATTTAAAAGACCAAGGATCGTGATGAAGGAATTTTACGRCCAAAGGTACTTTTCGATGAAGCCATTTTCAGACCTCATTCGAATAAATTTAACATTCATAGTGTCCATTCTCGTTAGTGATAGATGCATCAAAAGTTCTGAGCTACTGCTCTACGCGCATGCTCAAGGGGTCAAAAAGTGGGACCAAGGGTTGTCATAAAAATTGCGATCACAATTTACATTAAATTTTCAAGAGCAAGGAGTGTTGCTAATTCCAAATCAAACATACCAAAATATAGCAATTTTTACATAACAGTTATCTGGGGACATTACTAGATAACATGTATCTGGAGACATTTCTCCATGATGAAAATATCGCTCTGGGATCCTCACGAGTACCCTACATTTCATATTCCGGCTGCGTTACCAGCGTGGTTGGTCCTTGTTATGTAGTGGTTAACACATCTGACTGAAGACGTGGGTTCGATTCCCGCCAAGGGCATTTGATATCTTTCTCTTATTCTCCCTATTTCATTACACACACCGAACGCATAATTTATTACTACTATACTTTCACCAYGATAGTTATATCTGGGGACATTACTCCATGAAAGCTATATCTGGGGACATAACACGGATACAGGGCCGTTACATGACATATATATAGTACGATCTTATTATCCATGCATATTACGATTCACGGAGAATCTGTAACGTTTCACGCCTAGAACGTAACGGAAAAAACACAAGTAGCGTTTCCGGAGCAGTCAAAATAACACTTACCTAAACTACGTTTTCATAAAAGAATATTTTAGGGTCCTCAGTCAAAACTTAGTTTATTTTAAAAAGACAAAATGTAAAATAAAGACTTACTTGTTTAGAATTTGGTATTTACCAACTTTAATTATTATTTTACACTTTGAATATTGTAGACATGATAGGTAAAGCTCATTGTTTTATTGAGACGTTATAATGACTTAATTTTATTCAGTCTATGCAGAACAATGAAGCGAAACAAAGATCGAGAGTTTTACGTCATTTAAAATGTAAAAGAATGGCAATCATTTGCTATCAGAAATTTTACATAGAACTTCCTTTCCATTGAAGTGTTTTTTGGGGGTGGGGAATATGAGCAAATAGACACTGCTGAATCATCGCAAATTTAAAGATCTGCTCCAACAGGTTACGTTTTTGTCGTACTAAGGAACAAAAAAAATGAAAACACTCAAATTCCTATTTTAAAAAAATCCAAGATTTTCACTTTTTTWAAATCCCTTTTGGAACCATCTGCGAGTTTGACTCATATCTACAACTTGTAATACCGTTGACTTTATTTAGGCAACGGTTTTGTTTTAACATTGCTTTGGATGAATGACTATGTAAGAAGGCCAGAAAAACATCTGATTTGTACTGTACAAGAAATCTAAGATTTCACTTAGGTTTCTATGGTAACAATTTAGCCTTAAGGACGAANTTTCCACTAAGAAACTGTACTGTGACCGTGAGTGGACTGGTGATTAGCCGGTATGTACGCGGGCTCATAGTCTGTGTTTTGGCGCCTAATGTTGTTATTCAACGGTAACCGTTTCTTGCAGAGAAAAATACCGTATAATCTCTGTTCAAAAAAAGTTTTTATGAGTTTTGGAAGCTGAATTTGCTCAGCAAGAGTTTGATATCGTGCAATGGGTTCAATTTTTACTTTCCTGGATTGCAAAATCGGTGCCTGATCATGAGGACATGGATTGAATCACTATCAGGCATGTACGTTGAGACTCATTTTGCTTTTCACTTTTTATTCAAACCCAATTTATTCTGTAGTTAACTGGCTAGAATCTTGCTCTTCGTGGCTTTAAGCATTTTAATGAGGTTTGTCAATGAAGCTGAATGCCTGGCTGGCTTTTCGAAAGCGTGAAACAACATCTATGTTTCGAAATACGACTTGAATCGTTTAGGTTCTTGTTGAGTTCTTTGGGAATTAATATAGCGAACCAGAATGCTAGCAAGTGCACGTAACTCATACACAATTACAGAACATTAATTATTTTATATCTTTCCACATTGATTTTAAGGTTCAAGAAAGATCTGTTACAAGAAGTAATGTACAGAGCCGAGAAAATATTTTGATAGGCTAAAAGCCCACAAGGAATCATAGTGGGGAATCAAAATTCACAACATACTTGGAAAAGTCTTGCAGAAGCTATTACAAATTGAACTTCTCTCTTTATAACAATTTATTTCTCATTTAGTGAGAAAATTATGAATTTTTTCGAGAAGGTCTTGCAATTATTCATTTATACTTAACAAAACTGTATGGAAAAAGTATTTTTAAGCAAAGTCATTTTATCTGTTTCTTTGATCAATTTTCTTTAAAAGAATTCTAGTTAGCACATTAAAATGCATAAACAGATTGGCTGTATACATAATCAAGTTATTTTATTGAGTGTATTATAATATGACAAAATAGAAATAATTCTAAAAATTGTTACCATACTGTAGATGTGCATTAAGCATTGAACAGAAAGTACAGTAAGTTGTCAGGACAAAACTATAGCACCAGGCCAACCAAATTTCATGATAGTAACTTTAGTGTAGAAACAAACATTTTGGCTAATATTTACATGCTGATTGTATACACATTATTTTCTGTTGCATTAAAAAAGTGAGTGCAAATATTTATAATTGTTTTATTTATTTTGTTCCTTCTATTAATGAGTGAATTATACTTCTGCTCATTATGATTTGCACCCTGATATTGTATATTTATGTAGGTTTTTCTTGACCATGCTGTACGGGTGCTGTTTGCAAACATGGTTGACCATGGTAAACCATGGTATTGATATTGCTTTCAAACATGGTTGACCATGGTCTACCATGGTATTGATTTTGCTTTTAAACATGGTTGACCATGGTATTGATTTTGCTTTCAAACATGGTTGACCATGGTAAACCATGGTATTGATATTGCTTTCAAACATGGTTGACCATGGTCTACCATGGTATTGATTTTGCTTTTAAACATAGTTGACCATGGTCAAACCATGGTTGTTCTTTTACATAGCAAGACACTAACTGACCATGGTTGACCATGGTTAAACTTGTGCAATTTAACGTTCATGGTTGACCATGGTCAAAACATGGTCACATCATGGACAAACCATGGTCAACCATGTTTGCTTGACCATGTTCTAACATGTTTTAATCATGTTTGACCATGGTTTGACCATGGTCCTGACGCAGGGGTCAAGTTTGAATTCGGCGTTAAGTGAAAAATCTTTTGAATTGAGGGCGTCGAAAAAGTAAGAAAAAATCTCGGAAACATTCTAAAAGCCTTTGCACTGGGCTAAGTGGTGTAGTGAGCGTTTGGTTATTGATTTTCGGGTGTTTTAGTTGAACCGTAGAGAAGTTATTAAACTTGGAATTAGGCGAGCGTGTCTGAAGTGGACTTCGCGTGAGTTGAAGTGTCGGATGTCATTT